TATGTTTTGGTTTTCTCATCTGCAAAATGGAGTTAATAATAGCTATACTACCCGTACTTCAGAGGGTCACTGAAATGAACGAGTATATATGTATATTATTATACACACACACACACACACACACACACACGTTGTTGTTCAGTTGTTTCAGTCATGTCTGACTCTCTATGACCCAATTTAGGGTTTTCTTGGCAAAGATGCTGGAGTGGTTTGCCATTTCCTTCTCCAGCTCATTTTACATATGAAGAAACTGAGGCAAACAGGGTTAAGTGACTTGCCAGAGTCACAAAGCTAGTAAATGTCTGAGACCGAATTTGAATTCAGGTCCTCCTGACTGTGGCCCCAGCACTCAATCCACTGCACCACCTACCAGCCCACATATGCATATATGTGTGAAGTATTTTATGAAGCGTTACATAAATGTCAACTATCATTACTCCTCCATGAATCAAGGGTTGCACTTGAGGACCTAGAAGGCCACATGTGGCCTGGAGGCTGCAGGTTCCCCAACCCTGACTTACCATTTGCAACTTTCTTCACTTTTGCCCAGTGGTTTCCAAAACTTTTACCCTTTCAGAAGTAATCTACACAAATAACCTTCTTGGCTCATATTTTATTCAAATAAAATCAAGAATTTATTGCAGTACCTATAACAACAAATAATGTATAAAATAACCACCATACCATTTTGTCATTGAATCACAGACTTAAGAGATGGAAAGGACCCTAGATTATCTAGCCCAACCCCTTCATTTTACAGTTTAAAAAGTGAGACCCAGAAAGGTAAGTGACTTGCCCAGAGAAGTGGGGCAGGGTAGTATGTAGATGAGCTAGGCTTTGAATCCAAGTTCTCTGACTCTAAATCCAACACTTTCCACTGAATTATATTGCATCCCAAAGGCAAAGAAAAAACACGATGGAGGTAGGTAGCCCCCCCACCCCCACCCCAAAGTTAAGCCTCTGCACTCAGATATGTTGAAGCTCCAGTAAGGCCTAAACTCAGTGGCTAACTTGCTTTTTCAGAAGGGAGATATAAGACTCAGGACCTGACCAAGGTCCATAAGAGTTCATCCAATCTCCCCAGAGGAAAGTTCTGGGCCTGTCTTCCAATAGGGTCCTGGTGAAGATATACTCCCGTTCCACCACCTCCTCCCAGTTGGAGCAAATTTGAAATTTGCTGTCCTAGTCTTGCTTTTGTTGATAGGAGCTTTGCTTTCATTGAAAAAAGGTTAAGTAATTACAAGGGAGCTTTACTTGAAAAAATACAATAATTCTGACCATTGCTTCACATCTTCTACTACCACCTCCCTTTAAGTCTTACAAATCTAATAGTTTGGAAAACTTTGCTCTAGCCCAGCCCTACTTCTCTAAAGTCTATCTTTTATTCAAGGTTCAGCTCAAGTCCAATTTCCTCCAGAAAACAATCACTCCTCTTCTACACTCTTAAAACACTAACTATACCACTCATATAGGGTCATTAGTCTATATCTTCTATACCTAGCACACAACAGCGTCCTACAGTTAGCAAGCAGTCAATGTGTGTTTATGATTATGAAAAATCATTACTAATGCAATAGGTCTAGCCTAGAAGGTTTTGTTCATAAACGAAAATTTTGACTGACCTTAGCTGAAGTAGAGTACAGAAAACTTAAGCTATTTACTAGAAGGCAAGTGAAGTCATCATCTGAAACTCTGACCTAGATCAGATAATCAGAACTGTGCTTCCCAGGATATCATTCATTCATTCAACAAATATTTAAGTTATGTATTAAGTCTACAGCTCTACTAACAGATCTGGGGCAGGACAGCAGGGGAAAGGGAGCAGAGAGTGGTGAAGGGGAAGAGATACAAAGCAGTATAACAGACTACTTCTCAAAGTTATCAACCTGGTTTGGGAAAAAAAGCCACACACAGCAAAAAGACAATACAAGACAACAGTACCAGATCTTACTGGTACTTAATGGCCCAGACTTAAATGCTACCTTCTCTACAGCTTGAATTAACTTCTCCTTTTGCCTAATACTCAACATTTTCACAGAATGTCAGAATTAGAAGGAACCTCAGAGATCATCCTGACTAACACACATTAAGTCTCTTCTACAAAATCCCCAACAAGCAGCTATTCAGGCTCTGCCTGAAGACTCGCAATAAGAGGGAAACCACTACCTCCCAAAACAGTCCATTCTGCTTTGCTTTGGGGTAATGATTTGTCAGCATGTTTTCCTTTAAATCAAGCCTAAATTTGACTCCCTGAAACATCTACCTACTGCTCCTTGTTCTGCCCTCTAGATTCAAGCAATAAAAATAAATAAATAAAATTCCTGTTTCATGACAACCCTTCTAATTCTTGAAAAGAGCTGTCCTAAAGTCAGGGGGCCCTGTCTCCCCTAATCTTCTCCAGGACAGCTATCACCACTTTCATTTTGCTGAATAAAAACAACTGCTACAAACATGAACTAACCACAAAAAAAAATTCTCATAATAAATTAGAAACTTCCTATACTGGAAAAGAATGCTAGGGCAACATCAGCTCCCACCCAATAGCCTTGTCTATCTCTGCATGACATCTGAGAAAGTCTTCTTTCCCTACAAAACTGTAGGCTTCTTTTGAGCAGGGATCAGGCGCTATTTATCTTTCTTTTATCTGCATACCAAGAATCCTGCTGATGGCAAACACTAGATGGTCATTTGCTTCATTAAATTGGCATTAGGGTTACAAAGACCAAAACTATAGATTCAAATTCTCTTTCAAGTACAGGATCCAACTTTCAAACTGACTACTGGATACCTCAATCTAGATATGTCTATTATGGCACCTCAAGATAAGTTTGTACAAAGCACAATTCACCTCTCCTACAAAACAAATTCGCTGTTTTGAATGAAGCATTTCTTAAGTATTTACTAAGCACTAAGTGCTAAGGATATAAAAAGAAAAGTCAGACGGCCCCTGCTCTGCAGGAGCTCCTGTTCTACTGGAGGAGATGCACCACACACAGAAGATTTCAGTTGCTCATCACATGGAAGGTCCCATGATCTTCAGGGGGTAGCAGCCAATCAGACAGTAATGCCTTTTTCTTCAATGTCATTTCCACTGATCAAACTCTATCAGTTTCTCATGTTGAATGATTCGATAGAACCAAGCCTGGATTCTGATGACAAGACCTTTCTTTTCTGGGTGGCAATGGCATGGCTGCAGTGCCAGCAGCAGTGGCCAGGCTGCTTACTTCTCAAGAGTTCTTCCTATCTGACAATAAAACCACAATTTACCCAGACACCCATACTGCAAACCTCACCTTCAACTTTTCCTTATCCCTCCCGTATCTATTCACTTACTAGATCTTGCCAATTCTACCGCTGATATCTTGGATCTGTGCCGTTCTATTCCCAGTGCTAAAACCTCAGCACCCACCTAGATTACAACAGCCTGAATGATATCCTTTCCTCTAGCCTCTCAACTCCACCACCTTCTCCAGAATTCACCCTTTATACCAAAGCCAGATCAATTTTCCTTACCAAGAACTAGAACATGTTTTCCTCTGCTCAAAATCTTTCATTGGTTCCTTACTGCCTACCAAGCAAAGTCCTCCTGATCTTGTGTCTTCATCTTGACTTCATGGCTCTCTACAACCTGGCACCCCACTATATTTCTAATTTTACCTCATATTACTCTTTTCCATGAGCCACACTTGAGCCAAACAAGCCTATTCACTGTCCCTGGTGCAATGAAAATAATGCTGGATTTGGAGTCAGAAGACCTGAGTTCAAATCCCAGCTTTGTCACTTACTAACTGCATGATGATGGGCAAATCACTTAGCCTAGCTAAGCCTCAGTTTCCTCATTTGTAAAATGAAGGAGATGGATTAGATGGCTTCTAAGGTCTCTTCCAGCTTTAGATCTATGATCCTAATCACACCGTCTTTCAGTTTCTATGCTATTACTCAAGATGATCCCTATGCCTTTCATGTTTTCTTTATTACTTCCACGTTTTTAATTCCCACCCATCTTTTAATATCCAACCCCAATGTTATTTTTTCTAGGAAGCCTTCCCTAAACCCTCCAGCTAGAAATGACTTTTCCTTCCTTTGACCTTACAGAGCACTCTGTACCTGTCATATGCTCTTATTATATTCTCTTCTGCTATTATTATATAGTATTGCATAGTGTATATTTAATGTATCACCCCTAGGTAGACTTTATAAGACCTGGTTACTGCTTTAAGCAGAACTATGTCTCAGCTACCTTTGTATCTCTTTCTCAAAATCTAGCAGTGATTTGCACGTAAATGTCTGGTGAATGAATAAATTAATTAAATGAGTAAGAATTAGGTGATGGGACACTCCAGGCAGGGGTGAACAGCATAAGCAAAATACAGAGGAAGAAATAATCCTGGCATAGTTGGAGCTCACTCTGGCTAGAATAAAACTTTCATGAAGGGAAAAAGCAGAATGAATGAATTATAAAGCATTTGTTAAAGACATGATGCAGCCAGATAGCAGAGGGCCTAGAATGCCAGGTTATCTAATATCTGATGGTACTTGATGGAAATAAAATGGTAATTCACTCATTTCAATTATTTAACATATAGTCAAGTTCAAAATGTGTATAATATCTGAACTACTTTTCAATTAAACTCCTATTTAGAATTGTTTGGGCTTTATAAAGATTATGCCTCTATGTGAATAATACTTGCCATCTATAAAAGGTTCCTCAGCAGTTCAATTAGCCTTTCAACAATTAGACAACAGTACTTTGTTCCCTTAGGAGACGAGCATAACACTAAAACTTACATTGGCTTAACAGAAATACTGATGATTAAATAACAGCTAAAACCAACTTTAGCTGGTATTAGAGAAGACCTTCAAAATAAGTTAACTTTTACCAAGTATTATTGACCATCCTGCTCAGCTCTTTTAGAACAATCATACTTCACAAAGGACTCAGCCCACAACATCTCTTAATTTCTGCTAGTACAGACAAGAACACAACTAGATCTACCTACTTGTTGGTACTACGTTGTTGGCAGCACTCCCTTCTCCTTCTGATGGCTCTGCAGCAATGGTGTCTTGGCTTGGTTCTTTAACCCTTTCCTCAGTGAGAAGGCTTACTGCTTGGGTTATATCACCATTACTAGCCTAGAAAAGAAATGGAAATATCTGTAGTAAAGCATCAGAGTCAAGGACAGACTGCTCAAAGAACTGTCTGGTTAGCAAGTTCTTATTATTCTAGGTCAATTATTTTCCTTAGGTTCAACAAAAGGGAAAAAGGCAAGCCAAAGAATCTAGTTGCTTATAACAGACTAAATAGCCAGCTAAATTATCCAGTGCTCTAATTCCAATATAGAATACCTACAGGAGTAGTTGGAAACTTTTTGTAATGGGGCAGGAAGTGGAAGGACAGAGATATGAGAGGAATGATGTTGGGCAAGTGATAGTTGCTTTGGAGATGGCAGCATAGGTTGAACAGCCACATATTGGTTGCCCAAAGTTGGGTGGCAGTAGTGTCTTCAGTGATTCCCTGACACAGAATCTTTTCCAGATATACTGCATGGAAGTGCTGCTCAGCAGACAGATTACCACCCTTCCTCCCTTAACAGACTGTTGCCAAGGTTTAATTTCTACATAGCTCTGCTGATAAAATTAAAATATAGACAATAACTTCTCTAAATGTCTTTGCTAAAAAGACTCTTCAAACTAACCTTCAAAGCTTCATGAAGAAAGGAGGGGTCCTGGATTCCAGTGATTTCCCTCAGTTGATTTAATAGCATTTGGCAGCTCTACATTTGGAGGGGAAAAAAAAAGAGCAATATCAGAATAGGGGCAAACCTGCAAAAACTTCAAGGACTGCAATAATATAATTTGAGGAACCAACTTGTAAACTCACTTTTCCTAAGAGATAGAAGCAGCACATACTTACTATCCCAACCAGACCTACTACAGAAACCCAGAGTATATAACAGTTTACTCATGAGTCAAGATTTTGGGCACTAACTGATAAGAAATACATACAAACAATACAATTGAAAATACATTTAAGAGTCATATTCAAAGTCACAAAAGTATTAGAGTGGGAAGGGAATGTAAAAATCAACTAGTTCAGCTCCAGTTTAGAGGTGAGGAAACTGAGGCCCACAGAGGTAAAGTGACTTGCAAAGGTCAGAGAGCTATTAAGAGACAGAAGAACCCTAGCCCTAACGAAGCTTAAAGTGCCCAGGTACTTCTTGATCCAATAAGCACCAACATGAAGACATATAAGAAGTCCAAGGAATGTGCATGGGTATGAGGATGGGCTATTTTAAACTTGGCTAAGCATACCATTTGGTTGTGTGTCATTTTTCATTTGTAAGCTTCCAAATATGCTGTCAGTTACTGATACAACCAGTAACTGCTTAAAACTGGAACACTAGCTGCTTAGGAGTAAGAAAATAAAAATAAAGGTAAAACTATTTTTGAATTCCAAAATAACCCAATAAAAAAACTAAGGGATTCCCTCTGTCTTATCAGCAAACTGCCAGTCAGCAAACAATTTAATAATTCCTAAATAACAAGATCTATTTAGAATCCTGTGCAGTCATTCAGTAAATAAGGATTTATTAAGGGCCTACTATGTGCCAGACACTATGTTAAGTGCTGGAGATACAAAGAAAAACCAGTACCCACTGTTAAGAAATGTGCATTCTCATAGGAGAGACCACATGCAAACAACTATATACAGGGTAAACTGTAGGTAATCTCAGAAGGAAGGAACTAGAATTAGGCACACGAAAAGGCTTTTTTCAGAAAGTGGGATTTTAGCAGAGACTTGAAGGAAGCCAAGGATGGCAGGAGTTGGAGATTCTAGGGGAGGGAGAGCATTCTAGGCAAGGGGAACATTCAGTGAAAAAGTAAAGAGTAGGGAGATGAAGCATCCTGGGTGAGGAACAGCAATGAGGCCAGTATCAACAAATCTCAAGAAACAGGGCAAAATATAAGAAGACTGGAATGGTAGAAAGGGGCCAGGTTATGAAGAACTTTAAAAGCCAACCAGAAAATTTTATACTTGATCTTGGAGTTAATAGAGGGCCCTTGTAGTTTACTGAATAGGAGTATGACATGGTCAAACCTGTTTTTTAGGAAGCTCAATAGCAAATGCTAGGGAGAGGCTGAAGATTAATAAGTTATGGTAACAGAAGTGGCAATATGCTAAGAGAACACAGGATGAAAAAGGATCACTTGTGCCTGCAGAGGGGTTTGTCTTAGCAAGGAGAATACAAGAGGTGAACGAGGAGATAGTGACAGAAAGTACCTGATTGATGTGAGATGAAGAGAAGAGAAGAGGGACCTCTTCATGAATGACCCCAATTTTTCAGTGAATGAGTTAAGGTCTCAGGTTACTCAGGTTAGAGGGTAGAGGGAAGGAGAGCCATGAGAACTAGGTTTTTTGCAGAAAGAGAAATCACAAAATACCTCTTAACAAGGTTCAATTTGCCAGCTTGACTTAGGGAACAAGGATCTTTATGATAACTGTCAAGGGATTGTACTGCTTACCCTAAAACAAGGAGTCCAGTAGATGAGACAAGTTTTATCAAATCTACAGAATAAAAGTTTTAGTAAGACTAATTTCTCAGTTAGTTTGTATTTACTGACATTTGTACAGACAGATTTCAGTCTTATTATAAGATATCTGAGCATTTTTCTTTGATGATTTCTAGAAATATGGTATCTGGACCCTTTTTTGGTCATGGCTTTCAGGTAGTCCAAAGATCCTTAACTTTCAGGTCACTAGTTTTTCTTAGGGAACACCTTTTCTTTTTTTCCTTTTTAATCTTTTGATTTTGCTTCATTTTTTTGGTTTGTTTGTTTTCTCATAGTCACTGGCTTTTATTTTGCCCATTCTGATTTTCAGGGAGTTTGTTGCTTGGCCAAGGTTTTATACCTCTTGTGCCAAGCTGTAAATTCTCTTTCAGATTCTTTCTTCCATAGTTCTTTCTTTTCCAATTTTTTTTTAGTACACTCAACTGGTCTTTAAAATCATTTTAGCTCTTTATTTTTAACTCTTCCTCCATTTCTTTTAGGAATTCTAATTGGACATGTACTTAAGCTTCACTTTTCTTTGAGGTTCTGCTTTTAGACGTTTTGGAGTCATTCTCTTCTTCTTGGTCTGTGTCTTGAGAACCCTGTCGTCATAATAATTCTTTATCATGGTATTATTATTATTAATAATATTTTGCTCATTCTTCCAGTCTCTTTCCTAAATTTGGACTTTGTTAGGTCCAGGCTCTGTGAATTTCTGGAGGAAAGGCATGAGCTGGTCTTGTTGCTGCTTTGTTGAGGTTTGTTATTCCAGGCTCTCAGGGATCAGCTCAGGCTAGGGGCCTTCAGGCTTTCAGTGCTCCAAAGTGGTCTGATCCAGGGCAAAGTCTGATTGCTGCCCCCTTGGTCTGAGCTCTGAAAGTCCCTGATCTGAGTTTGGGTCTGAGCTACAGAAGACCGCTGCTGGACTTTGCCTCTTTCAGCCAGTTCTCAAGAGAAGAATTTCAAGCTATTAATAACTATGAAATACTCCAAAATATTAATGATAAAAGAAATGTAAATCAAAACAACCCTGAGGTTTTACCTTACACCAGGCAAATTAGCAAAGATAACAAAAGACTGGAATAGTCAATGCTGTGACAAGATAGTGGGCACACTAGTGTGTACTGCTGGTATAGCTGTGAATCAGTACAACCATTTTGGAAAGCAATTTGAAATTACACAAATAAAGAGACTAAAAATATGTACCCAAATAAAGTCTATACCCTTGTTCAAAAAGATTTCACAACTAGGATTATATCAAAAGGAGTTCATTCATAAGAAAAAAAAGTCCTCACATACACCAAAATTTTATAGCAGCTCTTTTTCAAAACTGCAAAACAAAACAAAAAACTGGAAACAAAGCAGATGCCCAGTGATTGCAGTATGGCTAAGCAAATTGTGGTGCATGAATGTAATGGGAGGAATGATGAATACAGAAAAGTTTGGAAAGATCTACATAAACTGATAATAGAGTGAAGAAAGCAGAGTCAAGAAAACAATGTGTGTGTATGTGTATATATATATACATTCACACACATAACTACAACAACGTATATAAAAATCATCACCAAAAAAATCAAAAGTGAACTTGCAAAATTACAAAGAACAAGCATGGCTCCAAAAAAATATATATATGAGAAGACACCCCCAAATCTACCACTATGCAGAAGTAGTCCAGGAATATGGTACATTGCACTTATTTTTTACTTTTTTCATGTTTTTATCAATTTTGATTTTTTTCTCTTTTTTTGTCTTTAAAAATTATTGTTATATGAGACAGCTCTCTGGATGGTAGAGGGAAAAGGGAAACTGAAAAAAAATTTGGTCATGTGAAAAAAAAAAGACATCAATAAAACTTATTTTAAAAACTTAAAAATCTTTAAAAAGTTGCCAAATACATAGGATTAACCAAGATCACCTAGCTTCAGAGGCAGGTCTTATAAATCAAGCAGGCATTTATTAAATACCTATTATGTGCTAAGCACATGTTGAATAATACAATTGTTGTTCAGCTTTTTCAATCGTGTCTGACACTTCGTGACCCCTTTGGAGTTTTCTTGGCAAAGATACTGGAGTGGTTTGCCATTTCCTTCTCCACCTTGTTTTACAGATGAGGAAACTTAGGCAAACAGGGTTAAGTGACTTGCCGAAAGTCACCCAACTAGTGTCTGAGGCTGAATTTGAACTCAGCTCTTCCTGATTCCAGGAAATTTCCGTCATCTTCTTGAGGGCCACACAAACGAGTATCTGTGAAGCAGGGTCTGCGACCTGGCCTCAAGGCTGAGTTTGGTACCCATGCTATTTAAACCACATTACAATGACTCTCCAAGAATATGTGAGAAATAACACTCATAACTAGTTAATTTCAATCTAATCCTTAGAGGGCAGTATGTGATACAAGTCTAGCTCCACCTTATCTGTCTTAACTGTTGTCATTTATCTAGTTTTCCCAGTGTCCTCTTTTCCTACATGTCCATTCTCACCCACCTTGGTACTTTTGCTCACTATTCTCTCGCCTCACCTAATTTGACATCTTCCACTTTTAGGTCAATAAGCTGCCATAGTAGTTAGGTGATTGATGGATTGAGCACTATGCCTGAAGTCAAGAAAGACTTCAATTCAAGTCTGGCCTCAGACATTTACTAGATGTATGACTTTGGGCAAGTCACTTAACTTCTGCCTCTTTTTTTTTTTTCCATCTGTTAAATGTACCTATCTCCTAGGGTTGTTGTGAGGATAAAGTCAGATAATTTTTGTAAAAGCACTTTTCAATCATTTAAAGCCCTATATAAATGCTATTAATAAAGTTCATTTGAGAGATGACTAGCTGCAAACTAGGGGAGGTGGGAGGTTTAAAAACACTAAAAGTTCACTTAAAGATATATAAAAGGTAGGGAGAAGTAATAAATCACATCTAGTTTAAGAGATGTGAATTTTGTCTCTGACTATACTGTAAACTTCCTGACTGGCCTGGAGTAGTGGAAAGGGATTTGGAATTCAAAAGGAACTAAGAAATTAACTAGTTCCACCCCTGTTGTCTGACTGATGAAGAAGTTGAAACTCTGAATGACTTGTTGAAAGTCAGAGTCAGTGGCAGAGGCAGGATTTGAACCCATGTTATCCAACTACATATTCTATGTGCTCTTTCTCCTGGACCATGCTAACTTTGTGGTTTTCAGTTTCCTCACCTTTAAAATGAGGGGATTGGCACTGATAATCTCCA